CCCCCCTTCTTGCTCAATTTTTGCCTCTCCAAAGCCATCCCAGCACCACTTCACAGTCTTCCAACCCCACTTCCCAAGCCATCCCAGCCACCCCGCCCATCTAAGGACTTAACCCAATCCCTTCCCAGCCATCCAAGCCCCATTTTAAAGCCATCCTAGCCACGCTAGTCCCCCAACCCCACTTTTACCCAAAATAGCCCCAATATTATATTTGAATTTCCTAATTAAACAGTTTGTTTGAATTAATCAGCCCCTATTTGCCTCATATTTTGTTGAATGTGTTAAATATATTATATATTTAATATTGTATCATGTATATATGGTAGCTTTACTTATGTTAAATATATTATATATTTAATATAGTATCATGTATATATGGTAGCTTTCCTTATGTATAGGTTTACTTATTTACACTTTACCCCCTTGTTGTAACTATATATACGGAGCCTTGTTCTCCTTGTTTAATATAGAAAATAATATTCCTTCATGGTATCAGAGCCTCGTCTCGGAGCCTAGCCTTGTAACCCCCGTCCCCAAAACCCTAGCGCCACCCTCTCCTTCTCGGCGCCGCCTCTCTCTGCGCAGCACCGGCCCTCTCTCTCTGCTGTCTCTCTCTCGCTGTCTCACGCACCAGCGCTCCCCAACATCTCTGCTGATCTCCCTGCTTCCAGAAATCTACCGGCGCTGCCCACTCCCTCTGCCGGCGTCACCATGTCTGACAAAACACCAACCACCGGCGGATCTTCACCACAAACCACTCCACACTTGGCGTTCACAACTATATCTAACGTCAAGTTGCATGTCCCGGTTCTTCTCAGCTTCTCGGAACCGAACTACAAGAAATGGAGCCGACTTTTTCTCCTACTGGTGCGGCGGTTTTCCTTGGCCGACTTTCTCAACGGCAAATCCACCCCTTCAAGCGCGGACGATGCGGAATGGTTCCAACTCGATGCCCTTCTCCAGGGTTGGATCCTCTCTACCGTAAATGATGAAGTCTCCGACTTGGTTATCTCTTCTACAAACTCGGCATCGGAATTGTGGAAATCCATCTACTCTCTCTTCCATGATAACAAACCCGCGCGGGCGATGCAATTGGAACATCTCTTTCGCACCACCCACAAAGGCTCTCTCTCTGTTGCTACATATTGTCAAACCCTGAAGAATATCGCGGATTGGCTAGATGATGTCGATGCTCCCGTTTCAGAGCAACAGCTTGTCCTCCAGGTGCTCAGAGGGCTGCCAGATGAGTTTCGACAGCAAACATCATTTCTGCAATTCCAAACACCGACCCCGACTTTCCTACAGGTCCGCTCGGCCCTCCTCCTCATTGAACAGCAGCGGACTGATCTTGGCTCTAGCAGAGACACACCGGGCACGGTACTCTACTCTGGCAGCAGCTCTGGACTCCCCTTCGGCACAAACAGCAGCCGCGGTAGTGTCCGCGGCAGTGGCGGACAGAATGGTAGCGGCGGCCCGTCGAACAACCGGCATCGTGGAGGATATCACCGAGGTCGTGGTCGAGGACGAAGCCCTGGATCTTATGCACGGCCCACCCAAGCACAGCCCCCCTGGCAGTTCTCCCACCCCAACCCAAACCCCGGCCTACTCG